TTCTTCTTGGCCTTTACAAAGTGTACCTCCATCCTTTTTTTCTTGATGGAAAAGAATACCTCATCCAAGAAGCCTTTCAACCAATGTGTGGCTTCTAGCGTCAAGAAGACAGTTGCTTTCCATTCCTCTTTGAGCTTTAGAGTGGGTTGTGCTTTACTCTTACCTTCTTCAAGCAAAAATTTCTTGGCTTATCTTCAGTTTGACTCTCCATCCCACAACTGATGAGGACCCTTTAGTTTCTTCTGCTCTCATCTTCCCGGTTCGTCTAGAAGATTGAGAAGCTTGGGATTCTCCTACTCAATCGGGAAGAGATATATCAGAATCTCCCTTTGCAGCTAGCATAAATATGCCACTCAAATAGCTGCAGAAATCAGCATCTAACATGTCTAAAAATCTAGCTAGAAATGGTTTCTGTAGAATAGAAACATTCTAGGATCCTTGGCACCTTTTAGTTATAAAGATTTGTCATTTTACTTTGATTACCTTGGATCACTTTGTACCTAAATTTCTCCCTTCTCTTTTTCTTTCTAGTAGTAATATATAACATTCTTCATATTGGTCCCATAAAATCATCAACATCATCCAACCCAACTATATGCAATCGGGTACATGAATCCTTTTTTCTTTTAATAAGTAAGGAAAAGTTTTATCAAGTAATCTTTTTTTAGAAAGGTAAGTAATCATAAGATGAGGCTTTCCATAGAGAGGCACGAGATGCAGCCTCAGTAACAACTCAGATTGCATTTAAGCCAAAAACAGATGCTCCCTATGTACAAGCATGCATATTGGGTGTTTCAATCACTCCCTACCTTTTTTAGTTTTTTTTTTTCAAAATTTTACGGGGGGTTGGTCTTAGCAAGACCTACAAAAATAAGAAAAATACAAAATACCCAATATTTAGCAAATCGGGGAACTACTGATACGATACACCCGTTACACCCCAATACGTTGTATTTTTTGAACCTTGATCATCAGGGTACACTTAGGATTGGAGACCAGGAAATAACTCAATGTGACTTTTTCAGTACCTTGTTTCAATAATTCATAACAAGGGAGAGATTGAGGAGGATGTCACCCATAGAATTAGGTCAGGATGGGCAAAATGGATGGGTGCATCTAGAGTTTTATGTGATTAGCCAAATACCACTTAGATTAAAAGGAAAATTCCATTAAACAGTTTAAAGCCAGCTATTTGTATGGAGCAAAGTGTTGGGCATCAAGAAGCAACATATCCAGAAAATGAGTGTGGCAGCAATGCATATGCAAAGATGAATGAGTGGAAAAACTAGAAATGATAAGAAATGAAGTCATTCATAGGAACTCAAGAGTGGCTCCAATAGGTGAATAATCGAGACGAAGTAGGCTAAGATGGTTTGATCATGTGCATACTGCATAGAAGACAATTGCCAGCACCAATAAGAAGAATTGATTTGTTACAAGTTGAAGGGACTAGAAGGGCTAGGGTAGAACAAAAAGGACATGGGTAGTAGTAAGAAATGATTTAAAGACCAATAATTTAACAATAGATATGGCATTAAACAGAACAGGCTAGCGAAACAGGATTCATGTAGCTGACCCCATATAGTTGGGATAAGGCTTGGACGATGATGATGATGATGATGATGATTATGATGTAGATACATTGATAGATTACAATTCATAAAGAAAAAGAGAATTTTCAAATTAGTATGCATCTATCTATGACAATATAATAAAAGAAATAATGTTTCTATTTATTTGGTTAAAGAACCTTGTTTTTTTTTCTTCCTATTTTGCACCTCATAATTTTGCTTTACCAATTTATTCTTCTCTTTTTTTTTTTTTGAGAAAGATAAGGTAAAATTTTATTGATGTGAAAACTAGATAAAAGAAAAGGTCAAATTTTATCAAGAACGATAAGGTAAAATTTATCAGTTTATTCTATGTTCAGCATTTAAAAAGAGTTGTTGCTGCTTTTTTTTCTATTCATTTAATATGATTTGCAATAGACATGCAAACAAGTCTGAAATTGTCTGTTTTAAGAACAACCATTCTATTCATTTTATCCCCTAACTGGTATGTCCTGTGTAAGTTGAATGGTGAAACTGCAATTCATCTTCTAATCTCATGCCCTTTTGTTAGCTTTATTTGGAATTGGTTTGCTTCCCTCTTTGGTTGCAGGCAGTCTTCTCCTAACAGATTGGATGGCTTACTTAGCCCTACCGGCATTAGCTGCACTAAAAGGAGGGGTAGGATCCTGTGGAGGTGTACTAGAGCAGCATATTGTGGACTGTTTGGGAGGAAAGAAATGCAAGAATATTTGAAGAAAGAGAAAAAAGCAGGGAAGAATTGATAGAAACAATAACTTTGAGAGGGGCACACTGGACAAAAAGCATTAAGTTGTTCTCAGATTTCAACGTTGAAGATTTCTTCAGGGCTTGGGCCATTATTGCCACCTCTTCATCTACAAGACAGAAATCTGTTGAGACTTGGTCTCCACCAATAGACGGTTGGAAGAAGCTGAATTTTGATGGAAATTGTGTAGGCAATCCAGGCCCCTCAGGCACGAGGGTCATTAGAGATGTAGATGGAAACGTCATCGTTCTATACTCCGGTCCAGTGGGACAGGGGGTGTGGCAAGGTCAGAATCAGTGCTCCAGGCGAGGCGCTCCCAAAATGCCCAAAGGCATATGCCAGAGGCGCTGACACCTCTGAGGTGTACGCCTCTTGCACTTTTTTCATGAGTCGTGCTAGAGGCGTACGCCTCATGCGCCTCATGCACATTTGATATAAAAAGACGGGAAAAAAAAAAGAAAAAGAACAAAAAAGGTAAGGAAAGGAAAGGAAAAGAAAGGGAAGGGAAAGAAAAAGAAAGAGAAGAAAAAAAGAGAAGGAAAGAAAAGGAAAGGAAAGGGAAGGGAAGAAAAGATAAGGGGAAAGAAAGTGGTTTGCCCCCTGCCCCTTCGGCTGGGGGGCTTCGCCCCCCACCCCCTTTTCGATGTAGCCCAATTTTTTTTTTTTATTTGAGTTAGGAGGGTCTTGCTCCGCTTCGGCGATGTTATGCATCTTTATTCTTCTTAATATAAAAAATTTTTATTAAAAATAAAGAAAAATGAGATCCCCCCCTTCCTCTTCATCCTCCTCCCAACCCCCCCCCCCTCTTAAGGAAGCTTATGCCTCCTTGTGTTCGGGAGGCTTACGCCTCTTGCGTTCTAAACTACACCTCACACCTCTAGGTAGTGGAACGTCTCGCGTCACGCCTCCACGTTTTAAAACATTGGTCAGAATTTCTGGCTGCAGTTTTTGGGATTGAAAAAGCAAAAGAATTGGGTATTAACAGATTGATTATTGAGGGAGACTCGAGAACTGTGATAAATTGGCTGCCAAAGGGTGAAGGGGTGACATGGCAGTTGAGAAATGATCTCGGAAAATTTAAATGGCTCTCAAAGGACATGTCAATACGAGTGAGATGGGTGAGGAGAACTGCCAACAGCTTGGCAGATAGCTTAGCTAAGCAAAGGGTACAAAGAACACATCTGTTTTGGGCTCAATTGTAATTTGGTTTTGGATCAGCTTTCTAAAGCCGGGTTTCACAACTTCTTGTTGTAACCATTTTTTCTTCTAATCAATGAAAATCTTTTCTGTGCAGCTGATCAAAAAAAAAAAAAAAAAAACTTATCTGAAAACATTTCTGTTTGCTTAAGCAGTTTTCAGAATTTCAAAGCTCCTAATTGACCCAAAGATCTGAAACTGGCCTTTAACCTTGATGTGGAAGACTTGGGATTATTATTGTTAGTTGACCATCTTTAGGTCTTGATATTATCAATTGTGCCCCCAATTACTTTCTCGATGATCTTGAACAGAAATGCAGATTGGATTTTTTCATTCACTATAGAATTCTGTGATTCTGTCCCCATTTATTGAGATTCTTGTAATGATAAAAAATTGCAAAACATAAAGAAATAATTAATAATAAAAACACAAATACAACCAGAGAAATTAGCAAACACATAGACACAAGAAATGGGTTTAAAAAAAAACAGAAACTAAAAAGAAATTTTGGTTATATACAAATTCTAAAAAGATGTAGTAAACAGATAAACAATGACATGTGGTTAGTAACCCCCTATGATGCAAAAGCAATGCATCATCAATTCCATATGGAGTTAGGGATACAGTAAGGGATGTTTCTGTTGTACATTTTTATACTGATTATATTGCTTGTATAGTTTGATGTATATATTTATTATCAATATAATTTGATCAGTTATTGATCAAAAAATTGAAACACAGAAACATATTGAACCAGTCATAGAACATAAGTTGGTAAAACAATGATACTAATTACAAAAAAAAAAAACATTAGACCCTAAACATGCATTCTTTAAGTAGTCATGTGGTGTCGTTTAGTCACGATTAACCAATGTAACCTTCCCTATAAAACTTTAAAAGAAAGATAAAAGATTTGAAAAGAAAACCATTTCTTAGAGCCTATTGCTTCTTAGGTTGACAAGCTTGAGAACATGGATTCAAGTTTGAAAGCAGCCACTTCATGCAAGAAGATGCCAACAGTTAGGTCCATATCTGGTCCACCCTTCCCAAGAACCCAGAAAGTTGAAGCCAACATTGGCCAATGGTCCTTTTTCCAAAAGATAAGTAGGCATTAATCATCGAGTCTTTCACCTTTATAGCCTCATGCCTCAAGGCCTCATCTGAGAGGGTCCTGAGCCTCAGACCAGGGTATTGATGCTTAAGCCTTGGGGCAAATTTTGTGTACTAGCAATCAAGGCATATGCCTCAAGGTCCATGAGTACAATATATCACGTTTAAGAATACAAATTCATGAAAAAATTAAAGGATGAGATGTTGCAAATAGTTCTATTTAAAATAACACCAATTCAACATGTAGAACTAGCCAAATGACTGCTAGGATATCTTTCAACCATCTTTTTTCTAATCAAAAGAAGCAAATACGGTATGATCTCATATCTCTATATTAATTAGCATAAACAGACCAACGATTGACAGAAAACAGTTACTCTTAGATGATAAAACCATCTTCCTGCAATATCATATGTTCAATGGATGCATGTAGTAAACAGAAAGTTTTTTTAAACAAGGGCATGTTTAAAAAAAAAAACATTATTCATGTACACTCAATCTTTTAAAAAGCAATTTGGGAGGGTAGCAAAGCAAGATATTGTAAGTAGGAAACACAAGAACCCCAATGAACAACAGAAGGAAAAACTATTTATGTGCATCATCAGAAGAGCCATAATTAAACTTTCAAAGGCCCAGGAAAATGGTTAAATGGTTAACAACGAAATCCTGCACATGAAAACCCCACAGTGATACCTCACAGAACCACCACACACTAAAGGGAGCCAAAGCATGTGTTGGAGGTCCCAATCTTCTGTGTACATAATTTACAACTCCACTTCCAACTTTGAGAAAGGGGAAAATAGCACCTTGCAATGTTCTAAATACGCCAATTGGGAGGTTCTAAACAATTCCACCATGTCGGAATCCACTATCCCCACAATCTGCACCAGGGTCCAAACCACAAGGAGAATCGTACCACTTAGAGTTATCTGGGTAGAAACTGTCCACCTGTATACCAACAAGACCTGCATCCGTCACTATTGTCCCATCATGCCTGATGGGCTTGATTAACTTAGAATCCTCACAGTCAAGAATGCTCTTCTCATCAAACTCGCCACATGCATCCTTCAACCATTTATCAGATTTACAACCGTCACTCATCAGATCCTTTCTACTACTGCAATCTGTCCGCATTCGATCCCAGGGCACAACATCTTCGAGCGTGTGTTCAAAACTGTCCTCATCTTCCTCAATCAGCTCAGTGTCCTTACCATTACCATATATCCTATCATGATGGTGGTCACCCCAATGTGCTAGATCACTTTCTCCAACCAATACATCATCTGAATGCTGTTTATCATGAAGCAGTTCAACTGTCCTAGAAGCATCTTCTCTTATACTCCTAAGCCTATTCAAAATATCAAATAGCTCTCGAGACAATGAACCCAACAGTTCCCGAGGCATTTTTCCAATTTTCCCTTCCAGCAACCCAACTTCAACCTTAAGTTCCTGAACCTGGTGCAACACTGAAAGCTGTGAATCCCCCTCGTCCTTACCCATCAGACCAAACGTGTCTGTATCAGTATCCTCGCTCATCCCATAAACTGTATCCTGATCCATCAAGAACCCACCTTTATGCCCAACAACCCTATGTATGATCCTTGCATTCCCATCCAATGGCCCTGGCTCGTGACCAGTATGCACTGCATACAGCTTAAACACAGCCATCCCTTCTTCCTGATACACAAATGTCTTGTCCTTTTCATTATAATTTGCAATTGGAACAATTGCCCTGATCCGGAACCCACACCCACATCGCTTCGATGCATAAGGCTCCCGCTTCAAAATCCTCGATTTCTTAGCAGCGGGCTCCCCAGCTCGATGACAAGCATAATCCTTGACCTCTGCCATGAAGGGCTTGTACCTAATATACTTCTGACGAATACAAAGCACAACCTTGTGCTTGGCAGCCAACTGCTGGAGGCGATGAGGAACCTCCTTGGCCGGAACATCGAACGACTCAGTGTACTCAAATCTCCTTCTTTTAGTCCTCGGAGCAGACCCTGACGCGTCTGAGCAAACCGAGCAGGAAGCGACACAAACCCTAATAAATGATTCAGGGATCCCGTAAAATTTGGCACCAACGGTCCATACCTGCTTGATTCGCTCAATGGTCTCCTTAAGCCCCAGGTGCTTGAGATCAGCGTCTCCATGGAAGCTCATGACGATGTCTTGCCACTGATTAATGTGCGAAACATACTGCTGAGAGTTGTTCTTGAAGTACAATACTTCGTTTCCGTGAGCATCGACATGGGCGTTGAGCTTATCTTGGATGCGTTTCCACGCCGTCAGGTAGGCGGTATCCTCGTTGCGATCCTTCCAGACAGAACGCCAACTCTTAAGAACCGGGCGAGGGGTGGCTCGGCGGATTTCGTCCGGCGTAGCGAGGCGTCGCTCTAAAATGCAACGGACCATTAGCGCATGAGACTCGCGATTGAAGGTGTAGAATTGGGTGGAGATGTGGGGTTCGGGGTTAATGTACACCGGGGGATGTTGATGCATGTTAGAAGGAACAACCCCAGTAGAGGCGGCGGCAGCAGTGACAGTGGTGTTGTGGTTAGGGTCGTCGGCATCAGAGGAGCTAGGGCTTGAGTCGACTGCCTTGTCCTCGTCTTCGTCTTCATCTTCTTCATCTCGGAAGACCATAATTTCAGGAATTGAAGGTAGAGAAAAGGGTTGTTCTTGGTGCGTCTGCTGCAGTTGTGGTTGCAATTCTTCCCCATGCTCTATGATTTGGTGGTGGAGATGGTGGTGGTGGCCGTGGAGAAGGTCCTCGGTTTCGTCAGGATTCATGAGCGGCGAGATGATTGTAAACGACTTCAGAATCTACGCTTCATCTCTCTGACTCGCGCTCTCTCTATCTCTCTCTCTGACATGGGATGTTGTTTGATCGAGGGTTTGTTTCTCTGTTTATTTTTTCTTGTTTGTTTTCGCTTTTTTCTTCCTCGCTTTATATAGAAAAAATAAAATAGTGAGGATGACTTTAAACGGTAGGTTGGCCCTGGTTCCTTCCGGGAAGTGTCTACCCGTATCGCGACTCTTGTCTCGCTCGCTCCCCTCTTTTTCTATTAGGTGGAGGCACGTGGAGAGCACGTGATACTAAAAAACCAAATTTTTTTTTTGGGTTGAAACATTTAAACTATATTGTGGTTCACCCCTTTGGTTTCTAAAAGGATTTAATTAAACTACCCTTATAGTTCCTCAAAAACATCACGTGGGTAAATACTGACAATATTTATTATGTAAAAACACGGTGACAAATGAGAATACAGATCATTTAAGCTGTTCTGCCCATTTGCCCTTTCAAATTGAGTGCCCATTTGAAATGACTGAAGTGCAACAACAGCTCTGGCTTTTCAAGGTGGGCTTTAGACAAATCTATATTATATTATTGTCCATGTCATTCACTCTACTTCATTCATTCTCCCTTCTTTGATTTCTTTTTTCATACTTTCACATTCTTCCCTTCCCCTATTCTCTTTCCTCTCTTCTTCTTTCCTTTTCCTTTTCCTTTTCCTTTTCCTTACTCAACCCTCCTCTCATTTAACCAAATATGCAAGGATCACAACCATCTCTAATTAGCCACATCATCCTTTATTACAAGGGTTCAAAATCTCAATATAAAAGATAATTTGCTAAATACTACCTAGTACAACTAAAGGAAACTTCCAAAATGGCTTTCTTCACTTTCCCTTTTCTCTACTACCAAAACAATTACATTCTTCCCCACGGAGACATCATTATTCCCCTATTTTGGGATTGGTTTATGATGGAGTCGAAGATTGAGCCCAAGTTAAGCTCCCATGTGGATTCCTCATTAAGCGACACTTGGCTAAGTTGAAGACCGGTGCATATTCAGAGCTCATACAAGCCGAAGAATAGTGATGCAACATGTCCCCGTGTGCTTCAAAGGCTAATGTTAGTGCACGCCACAACCCCAAACGAAGTGGAGACACATGACAAACACCAAATGAGGCTTTCCATAACTAGGGGTAACCGAACCGTGGGATATTTTTTCAAACCGAACCGAATTGGTTTGGTTTTTTAAATATACAAACTAAAATCGAACCGATGCAATCGGTTAACCGTGGTTCGGTTTTTTTGATTTTTTATGCCCTCAAAATAAAAAAAATAAAAAACTAAAACCGTCAGTGGTTGCTGTCGATGCCGGACCGATTGATGCCGGTGTTGCCGCTTGTCAGAGACGCAGAGAGCCTGAAATGAGAGCTTGAGAGCTTGCCGGAGACACAGAGAGCAGAGGTGAGAGAGAGAAAAGAGATATACAGAGATCAGTCCTTGCTTGCCGGCGAGGTGGCGACCGTCGATGTTGCCATGCTGGTGGTTGGTGCGGGCCGCGCGGCCGTCTGGAGTAGAGAATAGGAAGAGTCGAAGAAGAAGAAGAGTGAGAAGAGTCGAAAGACTAAGAAGAGTTGAAGAAGAAGAAAATTAGAAGAGAAGAAAAAATAGAGAGAGAGAGAGAGAGAAGAAAATTAGAAGAGTTGAGTAAGAAGAAAATTAGAACAAACAGAAATTTTTGGTTTGTTAAAAAAAATCAAACTGAAATCGAACCAACCAACCAGTTTGATTTCGGCCGGTTCGATTTTCCCGTTTTTTTTGCTCACCCCTATCCATAACCACCGAGGTTGGCACCAAATCTCAATCACTCACTACCTTGGAAACTAACATATGTCCCATTTGCGATGAGCACAACTGCACTCCCCAACAAGTATATAAAGTCACACCGCCCAAAGTAAGACTTCTTCAAACTCCCTAGCTCCTCAAACTTCCTTTGCTCTATTGCTCACCTAAGCTCAGCTCATATGGCTACTACCATCTCAACTACACCAACTTGGCCTAACCAATTTCGACCTTGGAGTGCTCTTCCTTAAAAAACCACCTCAAGACCTCTGACTTCTATATGCGTAGGTCATAGGAGCAATCTAGCTTACCAACAACTTTATCTACTACTTATCCACCTTAGGCCGCTCAAACATTGTAGTTCCTATTTGTTTCCACCCCTATTTTGGATCGGATTCTCTTATATCGAAGGAACTATGTTAAAAACATAGGTTTTGATTTACATTTTAAATCAATTGTTTTTTTAGTCAATCAAATAATAAAATCATAAACTTTTTTATTTTTAATCAAGCAAACAATAAAATCATAAACATTTTTTATTTTTAATTGAGCATTTTAAAATGACCAGGATATGTTTCAAAAGTGCGCAGAAAACCAGGCAATGCACAAGACGTGGAGAAGAGTAAGCAAATGAAAATCTAAAACCCCATTCAGTTTTCATACACAGACTATTGTGTATGGGTTCGGATGTAGTAAACACATTAGGTAAGCACAATGAGTGAACACGTAATAGCTATGTGACACATGTCTCAGTTAATGTGCCTTTCATCCAAACATTTTTACTCCGTTAAACATAAATTATCCATTACTTTATTATTTTTGTCAAAATAATTAAAAATAAAAACAATAAAAAAGGAAAACCTAAACATGTTGGGAATTGGGACTCATTTACTTTTTTCCTTTTTCATTGTTTTTTATTTTTAAGTATTTTGACAAAGATAATAAAATAATGGGTAATTTATATCTAACAGAGCAAAAACATTTGGATGAAAGGCACTATTACGTGCTCACTCATTGTGCTTACCTAACATGTCTACTACATCCGGACCCATTGTGTATAGTCTGATGCAGCATATTAAAACACACACACTTTACACGTTAGATCCATGTGAGATCCACGTAAGATCGATGCCAACCAAGCATTGGAGGCAATGATTAGGCGATACAAGAAACATCACTTTAATTTATAGTTTCCTCTATCACTAGTTCCCTTTGGTAGGTGTTTGGCATCATATTTGTTTATTCAAAAAAACAACTCCACATCAATGCCATTTTTGAAATCCATTTTTTTTGAAAATGCATGATGTTTGGTTAGTCTTTTTTTTTTTCGAAAAATGTTTTCTCAAACTATGCCTTGAAAATCAGGAAAGGTATGATATGAGAACATGCCCTTTTAGTGTTTTCTCATTTTTCTACTATTGCTAGCAATAATATGCTGACATGACATTAAAAAACCACCTATGTGGTAGCAACAATAATGGTACCAAATATAAAATCTTAAAAATCCTTTTCTTGAGAAAATGACATGCATGCCTATGCAACACCATTTTCTAAGAAAACACCTCTTAGAAAATGGCATTGGTTTCAAACATTGCCTTGATTTTCAAGGTGTTGCCATTTTTTACATTTTTTTGTAAGATCTCTTAGCCAAACAAAAAATTCATCTAAAAAAACGCCTATGCCTATGTGGCATCAAGTTGGCACCTTTTTTTTCTTTTTTGAAAAAACAGAAATGCTACCAAACAACCTCTTACTTGTCTAATTGAGTAGAGCAAGTTTTTTATTGGGTTTATGTGTTGAATTTTTGTTAATCACCATTAATTAAAAGTAAAATAATATACATTAAGGATAAATTAATCAATAATCATTAAAATATTTATTTTTATTTTTATTTTCTATTAGTTAGAAATGGTAATTAACAAGAATTAATATGAATATTAGTTAACAAAAATTTAATTTCAATATTTTTTTGAATTTTTGAAGAGAGGGATTTCCCCATGTGGATCCTTATTTCTTGTTTTTTCTAGCATGTCAAATTCACTTTACTTTTTATTTCAACTTCATTCCATTTTCTAAATAAAATAGTGACAAATTACAATCCTATCAAATAGACTTAGATACATTCAAACATATTCAATCATAATTTTAAAGATATTAATACAATTTAATTAACTAATTCATATGAAAAAGCAGAAGCTCAACATAAATCCCAAACAACAAATACAAACAATGGGAAATGAACACCAACTAGTTTATGAGGTGGGGAGCACTCTCTCTGATTTCCCCCATGGGGAATTCATCCTATCCCCCTACTACATTTGGGGTGGATCCTTGAGGGGATCAAAGAAACACGGAAAATCGTCTTTCCTAATTTAACTAATTAACCCCCTCCCCATAAACATACCATCAATTCAAGATGTTTTATCGACAATTATGTTCTACTCTCAAAATGACAACAATGCATAAATAGCAAGCTAGTAGCCAATAAATGCATATTAATTCCCAATTACCACCGTGTTTGTGAATTCTTAGAGGTGCAAATGGACCGAATCATAATCCGATATGAAGTCCAATCCTATTTTGTTGGATTCAGATATCTCCATTTTGGATTTTCGGATTGGATATAATAGAATTCAATTAAAAATCATATCAAATTCGGATCACCCCCTATGTATGTATGTAGGTAGGTAGGTAGGTATATTAATATATATATATATATATATTGCATTTTTTGTATAAAAAATATGTATATGTATGATGAAAATAGTTGAAAAATGCTTGTTTCTTGTTTTTCTTTACTTAAAATGTTATATTTTATTCTCCTTTTAATAATTTATTATTTTTAAAAATTAAATTGGATTGGATCAAATTCGGATATCCAACATCCTTATCAGATTCGAATTCGAATCAATGTTTGTGAGATCCGACCGAATCAGATCTACAATTTATAGTACCAAGCCGGGTTTGGATATACCCTGATTTGAACCTGATCTGATCCATTTGCATCCATATGAATTCACTTAGCATTGACTTGAAGAAGATGTTTGTTGATAGTTGTGATTCAATGGGAGATGCACACCTCCCCCCTCTAGAGGTGTAATTTAGGCTTATTTTGGAAAGAGTACAAAATTACAAATACAAATATGTACATTACAAATACTTACAAAATAATATAAAAGGCATGGTTTTGCACTCTATATATTTGCATTTGACTCCTCCCAAACTAAGCCCTAGTTCCGGAATTATTTATTTACAACTCAGGTCATTGACATTTACGTTGCGTTTGGAAATGATGCAAAGA